TTCCTTCCTTCCTTCCTTCCTTCCTTCCTTCCTTCCTTCCTTCCTTCCTTCCTTCCTTCCTTCCTCCCTTTTCTCTCTCTGGCTCTCTTTCTCTTTCTTTGTCTTTCTGTCTCTCTCTCTTCTCTCTTTCTGTCTCTTTTTCTCTTTCTTTCTCTTTCTGTCTCTCTTTCCCTCCCTCCCACCCTCCCTCCCTCCCTCTCTCCCTCTCTCCCTTCCTTCCTTCCTTCCTTCCCCCCCCTCACTGTGCACTGTGTACTGTGCACTGTCCCTCAGCTCTTCAGCTCTAGGCAAGTGCTCTACCACTTGAGCCATAGCACCACTTCTGGTTTTCTGGTGGTTTATTGGAGATAAGAGTCTTAGGGACTTTGCTTTGAACCAAGATCCTCAGCTTGTAGCCTCCTGAGTGAGTAGCTAGAATTACAGGTTTGAGCGATTAGTGCCCCATGACATTTTCTTCTATACAGTTTTCATCTGTGGTTGGTTGAATCCATAGTCACAGAACTCAGATGACTGTGGTCCTGAAACTTGCATTACTGCTAATGTTGTGTAGCTGGTAAGCTGAAAACCCTTTTCTAAACTGCCACTACAAGAGAGTTTCCATCAACAATGCTAGAGGAAAGGCTAAATTGTATTTTGTAATATTTCAGTCATTGTCATAAGATTATTTGCAACCATGAAAATGGAACAAGAAAATTTATTAGAGAAGCTGGAAGGGTACAGAGAGTGTGATGGAGGGGGTGAAATTGATTGGAATATAGGCTTATGCCTGTAATCCTAGCAAATCAGGAGGCTGAGATCTGAGGGTCACGGTTTGAAGCCAGCTTGAGCAGGAAAGTCTGTGAGATTCTTCTCTCTAATTAATCACAGAAAAAGCCAGAAATGGTGCTGTGGCCCCATGTGGTAGAGAACTAGCCTTGAGCAAAAAAGCTCAGGGATAGTGCCCAGTCCCCAAGTTCAAGCGACAGGATTGGCAAAAAGAAAAAGAATATGTGGTCATTGGCTTAATTCTTTTCTTTTTTCTTTTTTGTTGGTCCTGGGGCTTCAACTCAGGGCCTGGGCACTGTCCCTGAGCTTTTTTGCTGAAGGATAGCACTCTACCACTTTGAACCACAGTATCACTTCTAGTTCTCTGGGTTAATTGGAGATAAGAATCTTATAGACTGAGGCTGGGAAAGTGGCTCAGTGGTAGAGTACTTGTCTTGCATGCATGAGGCCCTGACTTTGATTCCTCAGCACCACATAAGCAGAAAAAACTGGAAGTGGCACTGTGGCTCAAGTGGTAGAGTGCTAGACTTGAGCTGAAGAGCTGAGGGACAGCACCCAGGCCCCACGACTGACAAAACAAAACAAACAAAAAGAGAATCTTATGGACTTTCCTGCCTGGGCTGGCTTCGAAGTGTAATCCTCAGTTCTCTGCCACCTGAGTAGCTAGAATTATAGACATGAGCCATTAGTGCCTAGTAGCTTAGTTCTTTTCTGAATATTTTTCATTTTATCTATGGTTGGTTGTGGGTCTTGAACTCTGGGCTTGGGCACTATCCTTCAGCTCTTCAGCTCAAGGTGAGCACTCTACTACTTGAGCCACAGCGCCACTTCTGGTTTTCTGCTGGTTAATTGGAGATAAGAGTCTCACAGACTTTCCTGCCTGTGCTGGCTTTGAACTGTGATATCAGCCTCCTGAGTAGCTAGGATTACAGGTGTGAGCCAGTAGTGCCAGACTTCTGAATGTTTTGATTTTAGCATCAAAGCACCTCATTGGTGCTATGAAGGTGTGGTGACACAGTCCACATGTGTGGAACCACCACAGTCAGAGCCCTTGTACAACTCATGTATGCTAATAGGAAAAGAAAATCCAAACAATAAACTCAAATCTGTGGATATACTGCCTATAGATCTAGTATTTGTTTTATATTTAAAATTGTCAGAAAGCCAAATAACCTTTTTACTTTTGTCTGCATTAATCTGATTGACTGTTTAAAATAAAATCATGTGGAAGTGGCACTGTGGCTCAAGCGGTAGAGTGCTCACCTTGAGCTGAAGAGCTGAAGGACAGTGCCCAAGCGCAGAGTTCAAGCCCCACGACCTACCAAAAAAAAAATGAAATCATGTGTCTGAAAATATCAAGTGAAACTCCTTTGTGCAATTATATATGCTAATAATTTTTAAATAAATTATTGTTATTACTACAAAAGTGATGTATAGAGGGTTTACCATTTCATAAATCAGGTAATGAGTACATTTCTTTTTTGGACCATGTCACCCCTTTCCTCCTTGCCAATGATGCTAATGATTTTTTAAAGTCAATTTAAAATATATAAAAAGATTATTCATCTGATATGTTACACAATACACAGGAAATGACTTTGATATTATTACAGAGGGAAAGCTTCATATTTCCCTGCCTATTTTTGTCCTTAAAAAGATTTTTGTTTGTTTGTTTGTTCATGGGGCTTGAACTCTGGACCTGGGCGCTGTCCCTGAGCTCTTCAGTTCAAGGCAAGCTCTCTACCACTTGAGCCACAGTGCTACTTCTGGCCTTTTCTGTTTATGTGGTACTGAGGAATGGATCTCAGGGCTTCATGCATACTAGGCAAGCACTGTACCACTGATCCACTTTCCCAGCTACCCCCCACCTTTTTTTTTTAATCAAGTGTCATTCGTATATTTATATTATTGATGGGCCATATAAAATTATCGGTATAGAGCAGTGATTTACCACTTTTCTTAAGTTCTTGTACTATCTAGAGGTTAGATTTCTAGAAGCGGGATAGCTAAGGCAGAGAGTAAGGTCCTCTGGTTTTACCATATGTTGACCATGTCCTTCCCATAGTGACAGCCTGTGTTTTGCCCCCACTAGTACAGGAGTGTCTACCTCTAGAAGTGTGTCTTATGTTTGCAGTTTGCCACCTAGTAGGTGAAAAATGGTATATCATTTTCATTTTCTTCTTCCTTTTTGCTACTCCTGGGCTTGAACTTAGGGCTTAGGCACTGTTCCTGAGCTTCTTTTGCTCAAGGCTAGCACTCTACTACTTGAGCCATAGTGCCACTTTTGGCTTTTTCTGTTTACATGGTACTGAGGAATCAAACCCAGGGCTTCATGCATTCTAGGCAAGCACACTACCACTGAGCCACATTCCCAGCCCTTCTTTTTTATTTAAAATAGCGAGGTTGTACATCTCTAAGTGTAGCTTCTTGTGTGTTTATTTTTTTGTGAATTCTTTCTGCTTATCCACCACCCCTCCATTGTACTGACTCCTTCCCCCTCTTTTTTCTAGGACCACCTAAGATATAATCGATTGATTAGCTCTCTCTTGCCTTTGTGGTATCTCAGTTTGGTGTGTGGGTTCCCCCCCCTTTTGTTTATGGAGTCTAACTTATCAGTTTGTTTTTTTTTTAACATTTGCTTCTGGATTTGAGTCATAGTTTAAAAGGCCTTCTTGTTCTCTACTTTAGGGTAATGAAAAGATGCCACTCATATTTTACTTAAGTATTGGAATGGTTTTGTTTTAAACATGAATCTTTGACCCATGCGGAGTTTATCCCGCTGCAGTTATTTAAATTTTGGGTTCTTCTTGCCAAATTGCTTTTTAAGTGAATTTTATATTTCTGCTAATGATGAGTAAGATCTCCATTGTCACCCTTCCCCATGTTACACTGAGTATTCTGCTCTGTGCTTGGGTTTTCCTCTATGAAGTGGGAACATCCTCTTTATTGTTTTAATTGTAGGATGGAGAGATACAAAGCTAAGTGCTATTTTTTCACATCAAGTGCTATTTTTATTCTGCATTAGACATTTTGTGTTAATTATAGGTGCTCAGTGTGAATACATATTTTGATTGTAAGCAGAGTACCTACAAACTGAATTTTTTCCCCTTAAAATTCTATTGCTTAGGCCTCGGGATGCGGTAGAGTGCTTACCTAGCATGCATGAAGCCCTGGGTTTGATTACTCAGTACCACATAAACAGAAAAGGCTGGAAGTGGCTCTGTGGCTGAAGTGGTAGAGTGATAACCTTGAGCAAAAGAACTTTGCTCAGGGACAGTGCCCAGGCCCTGAGTTCAAGCCCAGGACTGGCAAAAAAAAAAATTATATTGCTCATTTGGTTCACGCCTGTAATACCAGCTACTCCTGAGGCTGAGACCTGAGGATTGTGGTCTATAGCCAGCCTAGCTAGGAAAGTTTACAAGGATCATGGTTTGGAGCTAGTCTGGATAGGAAAGTGCAAGATTTTTATCTTCAATAAATTCCCCGAAGCTAGAAGTGGAGCTGTGTGGTAGAGCATTAGCCTTGAGAGAAATAAAAATTAAAAAAAAAAATTAAGACAACACCCAGGCCCTCAGTTCAAACCCCAGGATGGCACCCATGCATGCAAGCATACACATGTGCATACACACGTTCTGTTGCTCACTGGTGACACTTTTTTTCCCAGTTTGTAGAGGACTATGAGCCTACGAAAGCTGACAGCTACAGAAAGAAAGTGGTTCTGGATGGAGAAGAGGTCCAGATAGACATCCTAGACACTGCGGGCCAAGAGGACTATGCTGCCATTCGTGACAACTACTTCCGGAGTGGGGAGGGCTTCCTGCTGGTGTTCTCCATCACTGAGCATGAGTCCTTTACAGCCACTGCTGAGTTCAGGTGTGTTTGACATGAGGTGACAGGCTTTTTCCTTGCTTTCCCTTCTTATGCCTTGGGCTTAAAGCATATGGGGCTAAGGAGTGTGGTAGAAAGTTGAGCTTGCTGTTAGGAAAATTATGGCACATTATGACCTACCACATTTATAATCTTTTTTTTTTTTTTTAGTTGTGGGGCTTCAACTCTGGGCCTGGGCACTGTCCCCAGCTCTCCTCCTCAAGCCTAGTGCTCCTCTACCACTTGAGCCACAGTGCCACTTCCGGTTATCTGGTAGTTAATTGGAGATAAGAGTCTCATAGACTTTCCTGCCCAGGCTGGCTTTGAACCACAACCCTCAGATCTCAGCCTCTTGAGTAGCTAGGATTACAGCTGGTGTGAGCCACCAGCGCCCAGCCACCTTTATAATCTTTAACCTTCCTGTTTTCAAATTCTGGCTGTAGGGCTGGGAAGGTGGCTCAGTGGTAGAGCGTTTGCCTTGCATGCTCGAGGCCCTGGGTTCGATTCCTCAGCACCACATAAGCAAAGAGAAAAAAGCCGGAAGTGGCACTGTGACTCAAGTGGTAGAGCGCTAGCCTTGAGCTGAAGAGCTGAGGGACAGTGCCCAGGCCC